CACAGAGGTTATAAAGGTTTTAGACTTGGGACCTTGATGTTGCCTGCCTTTTTAACCGTTAGTTCAAGCTTTGGGGCATATTGGTTACACCCTTGCCTCATGTAAATATATGCAAATCATTTCCATGGAAGTTTGATGTGATGTTAGCAGGTGAGATTTTGTTTGTTTTGAACTTGGTTTGTCTGCCTGGAATGGAAATGATTTGCTGTATGTGACTAGGACAGCAACTCATATCTAACAATAGCTTTTGATATAGACTTCACGTGGTGTTGATGTAATATGATATGATGAGGACTTATAATCCAACCACATTTTTGTTTGCCTTAATATAAATCTAGATGCTGTTCAGGCTGAATGATTATACTATTTTAAAAGTAACATGCAGAGTCCCCATCTTTAATAATCTGACCCAATTCTGCTCTTGAGGCTCTATTGATTTTAGAACCAGAATATTGATTTGATTTTGGGGGAACTTGCTGATGTAGCTTTATCGACTGAATCAGGCTAAAATACTGCATAACAGCGGTACATACTACCCGTTACTGGTCAGTAACACCTGTTTGTTTTATCCTGCAGACCCAGATCCAGTACCTCAAGCAAGTCCAGCAGCCGAGTGCGGCCCAACTGCGGTCATCCATGGTGGACCCGGCCATCAACTTGTTTTTCCTCAAAATGAAGGCTGAACTAGAACAGACTAAAGACAAACTGGAGCAGGCCCAAAATGAACTGAGTGCCTGGAAATTTACACCTGATAGGTAAAGACAATCAAAATAACCCCACCCTCCCAAAAAACAGTCAAGACTTCCTCATGCCCCCCACCCTCACTCTCGCTGCAGGCATGCAGGATCAAAGGTGGGGGGGAAGGCTGACAAATGCTGTACTCACCACGAGACTCAGACTTTACAGAAAGCCAGTCACTGCAAAACAAAACTGTTTTTGTACTCTCGCACTGTGCCAGCTACATATCACATAACCTAAAGCGAAAAGACAGTATGGTCAGGTGACACTTGTGTTTCAGCTCTCTCCCCTCGTATCCCCTCACCGTCCAAGGGCCTGAAGGAGTCCGGACTGTTCCTGAAGAGGTGGTCACTCACTCCCCGACACGGATAAGCCCTCCCCGGCCCCTCAGCTCAAAGCAGACAGTTCAAATATTAAATAGGGGGGTTATGGTGGAGGTGAGTCAGGCAGGGAGCATCCCTAGCCTAAAACAGCAATTGAACCTTTTAAAGACAATTCCCCTACTTGGTTTAAAAAGACATTTAACTGTGGATTACACCACACACATACCCTGTAGTCTGCCTGAGAAACGTAAAGACTTGTTGGACAGTCTAGATTCACTGCAGTAACATGAGGAAAGTTTCTAGGATTAAAAGTAAGACTGTGGGGGGAAGAGACGCTAGCAATGATGTTAAGACTGAGCGGAGCCAGATCCTGGCCCACAGAGCGCTGAGGGTCCAGTCGCCTGTGTCTCTGAACATGGGCCCACTCACGGTAGAGTGTATTTACATGTTTTATTTTGTGACTTGTTTCTTTTAACTGCCATTTCATTTGATCTTTCTCTTGTTTCTCTGAAACAAACACTTACTGCAGTGTGTGTTAACCAAGACGCATGATTGGCTTTTGATTGTTTAAACTTGTGTTCATATTTGCACTTTTATGATGCATTGAGCCTAGCTTAATTCTTCAGGTTCAAACTGAAACACACTGCTGTGGGAGTCCTGTTTTCAAGTTGTGAATGCAAATGTCTTTAACAATTCATGTTATGAGTTGATAAGAATGTATTTATTGTATTTCTGTGTATTGTGATTGACCTTACAATCTTTCCCTCAGCCAGTTACTCTAATAGCTCATTAGATTATTTTCTCACATCTGTGGCACAGATCCTTAGCCACTGTTTCAGAATGGAAGGCACCAATCTTTTGTGTTGTTTTAAAAAGTAATTTATACTCTGGTCTCTCACACTGATGTGAGATTACCAGCTGGTGGTGCATAAACAGCCTTTAAAAGCACATTTCTTGCCATTCCTTATGGTTAAAACTATCATTTCAGAGAAAATGCAGTTAAATTGCATCTCAAGTAAAAAAAACATGTATTTAATTAGCTTTCTGAGCTGTTACCACTCTAATGCCTGCTGTGATCGGCTACATATGCCACGACTGTTATGTTAACAATTCCTTTTCCTCTGGCAAGATGACTTCCATAGGCATAACATACATTATAGTAGAGAGATTAGTTATGGTTTGAACTGACGTGTAAACTTGTCATTTACTGCAAATTTGGCTTCTTGATTAGGGCTTTTGTAAAATAGAGCCACAAACTGCTTTTACTGTGTGTTTAAATTGATGACCATGCAAAACCAGTGCCTGGTTCTGCAAAGCATCTTTCCTTTTAATGCTGCTCATAGTTAAGGGTTGATATTTAAATGCAGGGTTTCTTGTAGTGTGTCATTCAAATGTTACTGTTACATTTTTCATTCTATTTTTTCTCACACTCTGAGCTACTGTTGTAGCGAGTTGTTGACTTTGAGAGTTTGGTGGCGACAGAATTGCTACTGTGGTTTTTAAAGTGCTCGTTTCTTTAATATGCAGCATGGTTAAAGTGTACAAATGGTTCTATAGCAATGTGGGACCAGTAAGCTGCTTTTGGGTTTCAGGGGAGGAGGATCTTTTTATATTTTAAATGCCTACTCAGAACTTCTATTTTTTTATATAGTAAGTGTTTAAATGTCAGTTTGAACTTTGGGGCTTTTACAAGAAAATAATTAACTTTTTGGGTAGAACACAGATTTATATCAATAATTGTATCATTCATTTTAGTACAATGAAAATCCTTTTGTGGCTAGAGTAAATTAGGAATGGCTAGGTTGCAGCTTTAATGTTAAACTCGAGCTTGTTGGAACGGATCACCTGCACCTCGTTGCCTGTTGTGTTTGTCTCCTGGTTCACTGCGTGATGTGAGACTTGTTTCCCTTACAGCCAAACGGGGAAGAAACTGATGGCCAAGTGTAGAATGCTGATTCAGGAAAACCAGGAGTTGGGTAGACAGATGTCCCAGGGACGCATCGCCCAGCTGGAGGCGGAGCTGGCGCTGCAGAAGAAGTACAGCGAGGAGCTCAAGAGCAGCCAGGACGGTGAGAACACAACCAGCATCCACATCTCACAGCCGGTTTTACTTTATCATATGTACATCTTTTCTGTCCATGTTGTTTTTTGACTTTCTTTGTCTGTTCCTCTTCATATCTCTCCTAGAGTTGAATGACTTCATCATCCAGCTGGACGAGGAGGTGGAGGGAATGCAGAGCACCATCCTCGTGCTGCAGCAGCAGTTAAAGGACTCCCGTCAGCAGCTGTCTCAGAATCAGGGGCCGTTGGACGGAGCGGGCCCCAGCAGGACTTCACCTTCTGCGTCCTGCTCGTCCGCTGAGCCGTCCGCCCAGCCCGAGCCGCCCAGCGCGTCCTCTGAACCGGCAGGCAAAGACTACGGGAGGGTCTCCAACGGACCGAGCAACGGCAACTCATCCCAGAGGAGCGAGACGGCCACGCCCAGCCTGTACCGGGAGGTCAGCAGCACTGAGGAAGACTTTCCCATGTCCCCCATGGTCTCCAGCCCCGGAGAGACCGAGACCAAACTGTCCAACCACTCGGAGGAGACGTCAGGGAGTCAGACGGCAGCGGGGAGGGTCGCAGGACCCTCAGGCTTCGGGAGCCAGCTGAGCGCAGGGTACGAAAGCGTGGACTCTCCGACAGGCAGCGAGACGTCATTGACTCAGCACTCGAATGACACAGACTCCACCACCGACCCCCATGAAGACAAGGCTGCCATGGTGACCAAGGGCACCAGGACTGCGGGGTCACGGCACGCTCAGAACGGCCTGGACTCCGGCAGTGCGGTTTTGTAATGTACTTTGACATGTACTGTCTTTTTTTCTTTTTTTATACAATATACAAGGCAACAAATGCATAGTCTGTAACACGGCGCAGCTGTCCAAGACATTTTGTTTTCACCCTGCTCTCCTTGCCTCTCGTGATGCCTCTGTCACATTTGTGTTGCTAAACAGGGATTTAACAGGTATGGGTTAATGTTAGATTTGAATTGAGTGGATGTATGATTAAAACTAGTACGTTTCATTCTGCTGTTTTCTTTGAGCATGTCTATGCTGTTCTGTTTGAGCTCTTGACACTGAAATCAGGCATCTGGTGTTGTAACTCATCGTCAAAGTCAGTAAAATCACTGAATTACCGTAGCTTCGCAATATTCAAGGTCATTTTTTAGATGTTGGCCTGTGTTTTTTTTTTTTTTTAATGCAGTTTTAATTTTTCATGACAAATTCTGTTCAAAAGACTCTGTTGAATTGTGAGTAGTTTATATGCGATGTTCATATTATTCTGACTTCAGTCCTTTTCATGTACTGACCAAATACCAATAAAGATTTGTAATACTATAGAGTGAAACCCCATTATTACTCCCCATCAATGCAATGATAGGAAAACTCATCACTTGTATAGCACATTGAAAGCATACATATTTAAAAACCTTTATTAATTAATAAACCCTAAAGTATAAAACTGTTTTTTGAGTAGGTTTAACAAAATGAAAGTATTTAAATGTTAAGATAATGAACTCATGGGAATGTTTTTCGCCTTCCAGGTTGAGCCTTAATATTTGTAATAAATCTCAATTAAATGTTATAAATCATACCAATAAAGCATTACGGTAGCACAATGAGGCTAAAAAAGGTTGACCTTTACAGATAAGTAGAAAAATACATTATAGTAGGAGTATTGATTGAATGTGGGTCTGATTATCTTAAAGTTCAATGGGATGTGGCTTTTCTAATAAATAAACACTCCTCCTCCCACACACGTGGTGGCGTTGTTTCTTTTCACCTCCATTTACACTTCCTACTCGGTGCAGCTCTGACAGACAGGCAGTGTCAACAGAGCCCTGCACAGAGTAGACATTCAGGAATAACCACTCCAGCCAAGCAGCCGTCTATCAAAATGAACACCGAGTCTGTTGTCATCGTGTCTGCTGCAAGGACGCCCATTGGTGAGGTTTAATATCCCTTTAACTGCCATACACGTTCATTTTAAACACTTTTCTAACATTGCTACTTTGCTGTTGCTACATTCTGACTCGTTGCGATGGTCGAATAAGGTTTTTGTATTTATTTTTGAATCATGTTTTTCTACATTTACGTGTCGCTACATCATGACCTTCTTTAAAGCGTATATATTAGCGTAGTTTAATTAGGTAAAGTGGTTGATGTCGTTCAATAAAACACGCCGAGTCTTTGCGAAGCTGTGATTGGTTGGCTCATGTGTCCGGAGTGTTCTGTGGCCTCTGATTGGTTGCTGGTCATAGTCCCACAGAGCACGAGCGCTCTCTCATTGGTTATCACTGCAATATGTCAGGTCAAGCTGGGCGTGTTCTTCTCCCCAAGATGTGAAACATTTAATTTGACAGCAAGGCCACTGTGTACTCAAGAGAAGTCAACAAATTGATAGTATGATATCCCATAAAGACTCTGCCTCTAAGATATGCATGAGTAAAGCTTATGTTATTATGTAATGCACTATATAGCATTACAGGCACATTTGTTGGTCAGAGTTCAAAAGTTGTTAGAAAAAGATGAAAAGGTGAACATGTTGGTCTTGACCTTTTTAAATTATGTTTCTGCTGCCACCAAAGCTTATAATAATTCACATAATAAATGTTTTTAGACATTTTGGAGTTGTAATAATTGTACCTCGTACACGGTTGGATTTTGGACCACATTTAATATTGTGGACACCTGTTTATCTACTTTTCTTTATTTAGCGAAGTTGAATAGATGTAAGGTATCTCCCTGATAATGTGCTCATTGTTCAATATTTGTCCCTCTTTTTAAAAAGGGTCCTTGAACGGTGCTCTGTCTACTGTGAAGCTGCCTGAGCTGTGTTCCCTGGTGATCAAGGACGTTCTGAAGCGGGCCGAGGTGAAGCCAGAGGAGGTCTCTGAAGTTATCATGGGACACGTTCTAACAGCAGGTGAAAGCTCAGGAAATCACTGTGATAAAGAATGCCATAGGTTGCCGTATCTCATATAATGTGTGGTGTGCTAACAATTATTGGGTAACTGATTGATCCCCTATCTGTCTTATAAAAAAACCTTGTTAATGGAGGGTTAACCCCTTAGTATCCAGCAAGAGTCACATTGATGTTCACCTCTATTGTGTTTTATCCCTTTCTGCCTTATTAATAGACCGTGTGTGTTTCTGTCCGTCAGGTCAGGGGCAGAACCCGGCGCGTCAGGCCAGTGTAGCGGCAGGCATCCCGTACCCCGTCCCGGCCTGGAGCTGTCAGATGGTGTGTGGCTCTGGGCTGAAGGCTGTGTGTCTAGGAGCTCAGTCCATCCTGACCGGAGAGTCCACTGTGGTGGTGGCAGGGGGCATGGAGAGCATGAGCCAGGTAGGGTATGGGACAAGAAGCATCAGAGAGGAATAGGAAACTTTATTTGACCAGATGGAAATGAATAATGTGTGTGGGTTTCTTCTTTAAGAGCCTACTTACATGTATATTATTACTTGATTAAAGGGGACCTATCATGCAAAATGCACTTTTCGATGTCTTTTATACATAAATATGTGTGTGTCAGGGAACTCACAAAGTGTCAGAAAACAAAACCCTCTCTCTTTTCCTCCGTACCCAAATCTCTAAAAAAGGGGTTACAATGGAGCTGCCTCATGTTTTTATATATCCGAGACCCATAATATATGCCTAAAATTGCATAATAGGAGACCATTAAGCCAATTGGGGTCTTTTTTACTTGCTTTGTCTGTGTGTAAAACATTTAATATTTGGAACTATAGGTCTTGAAGTAAACTGAAAAATTGCTTTGTAGGCACTTTTCAAATTATGGTGTAAAATATTTTCAAATTTCGGTATCTAAATGTTTTCTTATATGGACATTTGGTCAGGATGTTAAGATGTTATAACCGTTGTTTTCTGGTTCCACCAAAGGCTCCTCACACTCTGAGAATGAGAGAAGGGGTGAAGATGGGCGATGCCTCCCTGCAGGACTCCATGGTGGCCGACGGCCTGACAGACGCCTTCCATGGCTACCACATGGGCCTCACAGGTGAGCATGGCTGAACATATACATTGTCACACATCCTTATGTATATTTGCTGTTGTGATAAATCAAAATACTTTTTATCAGCGGAGAATGTGGCAGAGCAGTGGAAAGTCAGTCGAGAGGAGCAGGACCAGTTTGCTGTCCGGTCCCAGAACAAGACAGAGGCTGCGCAGAAAGCAGGACACTTCGATCAAGAGATTGTCCCGGTGACAGTGTCGTCCAGAAAAGGTGAGGAGCTGCTCTGTGATTTATGATCAGGAAATGTTCTCTTCTCTCTTTTACATGCACTGTAACATTTGTCTGTCATCTTCAGGCCCGGTGGAGGTGAAGGTGGATGAGTTTCCTCGCCACGGCAGCAGCACAGAGAGCATGGCTAAACTCAGACCCTGCTTCATTAAGGGCAGCGGCACCGTCACCGCTGGCAACTCCTCAGGTTGCTGCTCCTTTCTTTTTTGAGACGATGTCATTGAGGTTTATCTCATTAGAAGTTATGTAATCTAAATGCATGTTTTTCCTACTGTAGGTATTAATGATGGAGCAGCAGCAACCGTCCTAATGAGCCAATCAGAGGCTGCGAAACGTGGCCTCAAACCGATGGCCAGAATTGTAACGTGGGCTCAAGCTGGCCTTGACCCGTCGATCATGGGAACGGGACCAATACCAGCCATCAGGAAGGCCGTGAGTAATCAGAAGCAACGAAATGTAACCATATCTGAAAAATAAATCTTCTTTGGTTTTATTTCATTATTATTCTGTCGTTCTTGTCCTCTGGTAGGTTGAGAAAGCAGGCTGGCAGCTGGACCAGGTCGACTTGTTTGAGATCAATGAAGCCTTTTCTGCCCAGTCTGTTGCGGTGGTGAAAGAGCTTGGCCTAAATGCAGACAAGGTAATGTTTCAGCCCAGCCTCACTGACAATACATCTTGTTTTTGTCTGTCCATTAACCCACTTTCAATATGAGTATCTTTTCATACTTAGGGTATCCTAGAATATTAATACAATCATACTAGTGCAACCTCATGCTTACTCTAGTAAAACAATTACTCTTTAGAGGAACATTACATTACAATCTTTTAGAAACTGTCTGTCAGCTTTAGGTGATGTTTTTAGTAGGGTTGCTCAATTAATCGTATTTTAATCGCAATTACGATTTTGGCTTGCAACGATTACGAACACAACGTAATCGAAATAAAACGATTATTTTTTTTTCAAATTGGTTTTTCAGTTGAATTATACTTAAAGTTCAGGGTAATCAACTGTTAAAAACATACTGTTCAAATGTCTTTTTTCAATAAATGGATAATCGTTTTTAATAATCGAGCGGCCCTAGTTTTTAGGCATTTTTCCTTTTTATAGTTGACCACTTTATAGAAAAGCGTACATTTCCCTCTAGAACGGAACAGCATGGTAACCTGTGCTTTTCGCCCCTCCTCTCCTCAGGTGAATGTGAGTGGGGGGGCCATCTCTCTGGGCCATCCCATTGGCATGTCTGGCTGCAGGGTGCTGGTCACCTTGCTGCACGCCCTTCAGAGGACTGGAGGCAGTAAGGGCGTGGCGTCGCTCTGCATCGGAGGAGGGATGGGCATCGCCATGTGCGTGGAGAGGGTTTGAGACGGAAACGTCATGCTGCCTCACAGATTGCACTCAATCTTAAATGATAAAGGGATAGTTGTTGTTTACACTGCAAGGAGTTTAGGCGGATCCAATATTAGCGTGCCATTCTCACTGAACATCAAACCCCTCCCTCAGGTTATAGCTGTGTAACATGTGACTTAAGGATTTAATACCTCTAGATAATGTAATTGTAGTGTGTATCGACTATTAGATATATATATATATGCAGCATACTGCAGTTAGTAGCTGTTAAGAAATCAAAGTATTGGATGTCTTCTCCAAGATGCACTCCTGACAAGTGAAACAAACTGCAAATGCAAGGCTTTAATGTGTGCCCGGTACAGACAGGCTACCTTTTCTGTAGTTTTTTTACTTTGTGTAATTTAATGATATCGTTCTTAGTTTGCTGTACAAAGACATTTTGATCGACATTCCACTTTCTCTAATCAATGTAGCAGACATGAGCCTTGAAATGCAAGTGCCATAAGGTTACGTACGCTAGCCTTCTCTAACCGAGTACTTCCTGTACACAGCATGATGCAAGTGTAAATGTTTCCTGCAGCTCTTTTGCATATCAATAAAGAATCATCAGCCATCGAGTCAAAAACGTCTTCGGAACTCGTTTATGAAAGCTTGCACAATAACCACATCAATGAAAATCGGAATTAACTAATCAAGTCATGTACATGTACATTGGAGCTTTATTAAGTGTCCAAACAAAATATCACTTACAGTTCCTCTGGAGGCGAGGGAGTGAAAGAACAGTAAACAGGCAAAGTGCACGACCTATACTAGAGCATCAGCCATGAAGAGCTCCTTACGTATAAATACAGATGATGAACCTATCAGGACCAATCACAGCCTTTAACCCAGAGATCCAGACTGCACTGCATCCTGGTACGACTGCCCGCCCTCCTTCTGCTCTGGGAACAGTTTGATGAGGTCGTCGATACGAAGGATGGTGATCGCAGCCTCCGTGGCGAACTTGAGGCTCTTTGTCTTCACCATGGTGGGCTCGTACACGCCCGCCTGACGGTTGTCTCTAGGTTTGCCGTTGAGCAGGTCAAGACCAATCCTACCAGACAGAGAGTGGTCAAATACTGAATCTTCTACAGAACAGTTCCCAAAGCACTTTCCCTGAGCAGAATAGGAATTATGGCAATAGCTTATTTTACTCAACCAAAAAAAAAGATTTTAATATGATAGAACAAATCTGAAGCAAGATAAAAAATGCATCTGATCATTCCAGAGTGAACACCTAAACCTATCGTGCCACTTAACGTAAACTAGGGCTGCTCAATTAAATCGTATTTTAAATCGCAATTACGATTTTGGCTTGCAATGATTATGAAAACATAATCTAAATAAAACGGTTTTTTTCAATTGGTTTTTCAGTTGAATTATACTTAAAGTTCAGGGTAATCAACTGTTAATAACATACCGTTCACTTTTTTTCAAAGTAAATGGATAATCGTTTTTAATAATCGTGATATCAATTATTGACCCAAATAGTCGAGATTATGATTTTTGCCATAATCGAGCCGCCCTAACGTAAACATATGACAGTGTTGTGACTGGTGCAGCAGTCAGGAGAGACTCACCATTTGAGGTTCTTGCGTTCAGGATTAACCTGAGCCTCATTGTGGAAGGCCCGAAGCTTTGCCACCAGATCTGTGGAGTCCTGAGCTGCGTTTACAGCCAGCGTCTTCGGGATGACGAGGAGAGAACGAGCAAACTCGGCAATAGCCAGCTGCTCCCGGGAACCCTAAAAAAAAATGAATCATAGATGAGTGAAATCTCAGTATCGGGGAAACCTGGGTAAAACACGACTCCAGATTCGCTGCAGCTCAGATAGAAAGGTTTTCAGAGGAGTGTGCTCACCATGCTTGTGGCATAATTCTCCAGGTAGATGGACAGAGCTGCCTCCACAGCGCCGCCTCCTGGCACCACAGACTTTGACTCCAGCACCCTCTTGACCACACAGAGAGCGTCATGCAGAGAGCGCTCCATCTCGTCACACATGAAGTCGTTGGCCCCGCGCAGAATGATGGATGCTGATGTGCGTGCTTTGGTACTGAGGAGATTCAAGGGAGAAGTTAGAACCAATACAGCTTATTTATGTCAGACTGTTAGAACAGTATATGCAGGCAGACCTATGAGGGGTTTCTGCCCTCTACAGATCATACAAACTCTTTTTCAGAGTTAATCAAAACATGTTGCCAGAACTATAGACGATGCACTGAAATGTTCTGATCCTACAGTTGGTGCAGACATCCACGAAGTACCAACAATCTGATTTGCATTAGAAAACATTGATTTATAAAGTTGCAGTTCTTACTTCTTGACCATGATGAGCTCGTCGTCACAGATGCGATCTTGCACAACCTCCTCAGCCTGGCCGAGCATAGTCGGCTCGAATGTCTCCTCTCCCTCCAGATTGGTCAAAGAAGGGCAGACGGTGGCTGAAATAGGACATACACAACCAGCGTCACCATGATTCAGTACTTTCAAACCACTAAATATAAGGGTTTGATTTTTTTAAAGTGTACACAGATGTTTAGACAAGCTGCAGCAAGAGGTACCTTAAATTCCACAAGATGTATACATAAGCAGAAACTGACCAAGTCTTCTGATTCAAACTTAGAATACTTTGTTACAACTTTAATAAAATGTTTTAAAAAGATATCATGCATTTCATTTTGTACCATCATTTCATTAGAGGTGGCAGAAATGTGGCTGCTCAACCTCTTCAGACTTTGATGGAGTGTTTCTCTCTCCTGTTAGCATAGCCATACATCTGTATTAAAAGGCAGATCTGGTACTATAACAGGATTTTTTCCAACAGGCTGGGGAAGTGCAGTTAGATTGGTATACGTATTCTATACAATCCACTTGTTTATGAACAGATGTTAAGAGCAGGAACACACAGACACCATCTTCAGTGAACTTCCACCCTACCTCCTGTTGACTTGGCAATGCGCTTGAGGTCCTTCTTGAGAACCCTCCTCACTGCCATGGCTCCGACATCCACAAAGTACTTCAGACACATGTCATCAATGCCACCGGTGGTCAGGATAACGTTTGCGCCTGAGGCCAGAATCTTTTGGATCCTCTCCTTGGTGATATCAGACTCCCTGTAGCAAGGAAATCAAAAGTTAATTTAGTTTCTCCAGTTTTATTTGGATGCAATATAAATGCTATACAAAAATTCTCCAGCCCACAATACTGGTACAACAGCTCAGAGAGACTGCTGCTTCATATCGGGGCCGTTATATTTTCTCCCACGCGTATCACTGTGTAAACTATTGATTCACCATCACAGCAAATTGAAATGGGAATATTCTTATGGATGAGTGCAAAGAAGAGAAGAACCGTGTGTACCTTTGTCTGATCTGGTCCAGCTTCTCTGGGTCGCTGATCAGGACTTGGACTCCCATCTTCATCTTGGTCTTCTGCAGACTGAAGTCCAGGCAGGCAATCTTGGCGTTGAGGATACGCTTCACCATCACTTTGGAGAAAACAGAATGGCATGTTTAACATTACTACTCCACATTACGAAGACAAACAAATGAAAAGACATTTGTTGTCATTACATTGTCTGGCTAAAAGGCTGTGACTGAACATTGTCTAAATAGCTTTCTAGAACATTTTATGTCTCCCACGCAAATCACTGCTGACACCATGAGGTGAGGCATAGCAGCACATTTAAATTGGAGTTTAATCAGCTGTAGTTGTAATGTATGATGCATTACACAATGTTGTTCATTTTCATTTTGGAATATCGTGAAACAAACTTACTTTGTGACCCAACAGTGCAGTTCACTGCGTATCCATTAACCAAGAAGCTCTCCTTCTGGCTACGGCCGTGAGCTTTCAGCACATTCACAGAGTTGATGGGATATTTGGCCACCCCCTTGGCGTCCACAAACTTCACAGCAAGAGCAGCATCCACCACCATGTTAGCAAAGAAATCTGCATCACTGAGGGTTCCAGGTTAAGGCAGATAAGGGGTTTCGTTGCATTAACAATAAGTCACTGCCTGCAAAGTCCTGGCATACAAAGGCCAGCGATTAAGTGGGTTTGATCCACACGTGCACTGTGTAGGAAAAAGGATACGTTCCAATGATTTTGGAGGACATGGAGGTCTTGGCTGCATTGATTAAGCACTCTCTGCCCAGTTCCTCTGTTCCAATAGTGAGATTCTCATTAATGTAGCGAACTGCTTCCCTGGAAGATAAAAAGAAACGTTTGCATCAATAAACATCTCATTAGATCTGAAGCACCCAGGGATAGTCAGCGTCAGTGTAGAAAAACTTCTGAACAGTAAAGAGCAGTCCTCCATGTTAGCATCTTACTTGCAAGCCAGACGATATCCACTGATGACTGACGTGGGGTGAATCCTCTGCTTCACCAGCTCATCTGCACTTTTGAGCAATTCTGCAGCAAGAATTACCTGAAAGAATGTCACATTGAATAGATAAGTAAATTGCAAACTGAGAATAACATTGTTACACTTTCAGCAAAAGAGTATATGAGAAAGTACAAGTTTCATTTTGTACCGTCGTTTCATTAGAGGTGGCAGAAATATGGCTGCTCAACCTCTTCAGACTGTGACGGAGTGTTTCTCTGTCCTATTAGCATAGCCATACATCCATATTGAAAGGTAGATGTAGGTACTATAACAGGACTGTTATTGCAACCAATTTGTTCATTATTAAATAGTTTATAGAGCACAAAAGTGATAAAACATCGCAATTAAAATGCTTTTTATAGAGAACAGGGATATTAACATGCATTCCCTTCATCTCATTTGTATTCACTAAAACGTAAAGACAAAAAAAATGCATTGTATATTTCTTCATCCTGGTATCCAACACACACGGTCTCTTTACCAGTAGACTCCTAAATGTGCCACCCTATTGGAGCAGCTGAGGACCCCACTCACCACAGACGTGGTCCCGTCCCCGACCTCCTTATCCTGCAGGTCAGCCAGCTCACACAGGACCTTGGCCGCTGGGTGCTCCACCTCCAGCAGCTTCAGGATGGTCGCTCCATCGTTGGTGATGGTCACGTCCTGTCAATCAATAAAAAAAGACAGATGAGCAAGGCAGACCATTTAGTAGAAATAAGATAATAGGAAATAGATAACAGGGGCGTCACTTTGTTAGAAAAAGTGTGGGGGAGACTTTTTTCAGATTAAAAAAACAAACACTACTGCTTTCCCCTACAAACAAATGCTTAAAATACTTTTATGAAAGTTAGTGCAGTAATAGCTATGCTAAGCTGCTGCATGGCGGGTTCAACAATTGCCTCATTATTCTCGATAGAATTACAATTAATATTATTAACCGGGTCGCAGGTCTAAATTACACCACTTATGTTACCGAAGTGTGAACTCTTTTCGAGATTGAACATGTTCTCTTGTACAAATAATCTCAAAGATTACAATCCTTTGTGCACTTTTTATTTAGCAAATTATCCTAATGCAAATGACGTCTGTGGATATTAATGATTGAGACACATACCCCAATTTCGTCCACCAACATCTTGTCCAGGCCAACAGGTCCCAGGGAGCTCTTGACGATGTTAGCGATGGCTGATGCGGCCATGACTGCAGAGACAAAAAGAAAGCTGCTCTTAGCAAAAAGCCCTAAATAACATGTTCTTCCCATTTAAAAGTCAGCTGATTAATCATTTACTATATCTGCTTAAACGTATATTCATTCATCTGTGACTGATATATCCTGTCAAACTATTTGGTGGGGTGCACAGTTAGCTAGCCACACCTTCAGACCATGACAGTGTTTTTCTATCCCATTAGCATAGCCGTCCATTCATGGTGATGCGAGTGGAAGGTACTGAAATGGGATTACAACATTATACTCTGTTTGCGTAAATAGCATAGCGTGTAAAAATTGCATGAATTTTCTGTGCTATGCAGATTTTCACAGAAGAGGAAGCAGAGGCTTATAGTGAAAAAAGTTAGCTAGCATTAGCATTAGCCACGTGTGGTGCGCGCAGTAAATTCAATCTGTTCTCCCGTCTACCATTCGTAATGCACTTTAAATATATGAAGCTTCTTTAAAACACCAAGTATAAGAGCAACATTACTCACCATTTTGAGTACGAACAGACTCGCCAGTTGTCCTCTGGCCGAGCACGTTCAACGGACCATCTAAGAGGGACATTTTGGACAACCACACAACTGAGAAGAAAGGAAGAACCGCAGTGCACTATGGGTAACCCGGTATTAAGGAGAAGATTCGAGAAGAAAATGTCCACTAAAACATGTAATTGCGGAACTAAAGCTTTTTAATTATGTTAAAGATATCAACTTTGGAATTGTAATGAAGTTCCACGTTAACCAGTTCCCTTATTAAATTAGAAAAGTACACTTTGTCCCGTTATTTCTTATAAACTATATTACCCAGCATGCATCTGATGTTCTTCCTGTTTTAATCTATGGTTTTAATATTAGTAATGGTGGTGACCTCTGCTGGTTAGTCTGGTTATCACTTAAATTACAAAATGCATGTCGCACCTGATGTGAAGCTAAACGTATAGAGCAGGGGTGTCGAACTCAAATACACAGTGGGCCAACATTAAAAAAAATGGGCACTAGTCGAGGGCCAGACTGGTTCTGTGTATTGCAAAACGTATTGAAATGAACTCATTGCACATATTAAACCTGGAACTAACAAAGCTTAAATTATTGCCTATAAAAACAACATTAAATAATCAGTTGCATTCATTTCTTATGGCTCTATCTGCAGATTTTCTGGAGTCATTTCTTATGATTACATTTTTCTACAAGCCAACAACAGCTTCAAAAAAACTATTTCCCTCAAAGAAAAAACCAAACATGCCCTGTTTTCGCAAGAAAAAAAGTGCAGAAGGAACTATGGAATGCCATTTAAGCCAAAATTATGCCTATGAAATAAATGCTGAAATAAATAAATGAGGCAATACATATGTATACATGTACATTTAAATACACATTTATTTATTTCATGGGACTTTTATTTCATAATGACACATTTATTTATTTCAAGAGACTTTTATTTCATAATGACACATTTATTTATTTCAAGAGACTTGTATTTCATAATGACACATTTATTTATTTCAAGAGACTCGTATTTCATAATGACATATTTATTTATTTCAGGTGACTTGTATTTCATGATGAGACATTTCCATTCCTTATATGCAAATAACGGGGCGTGGTTAGCTCACAGATCCAGAGACCCAGACCAAAGCAACAGCACCACACTGACTACTCGAGAAGAGGAAGAAAATGGACTATAAGGCAAACTACTAAATTCTCAGTCAGACATCGCATGTAATCTGATACTCTAAATTTCACCCGCCAGAAATGTTCGCTTCATGTGTAAATTGTCCGTTGGCAAACCAGTTGACTTCTTCTTCTCTCGGTTTTTTGGCGGATTGCAAACAACTTTAATGTGCATACCGCCACCTACTGTACATGAGTGTGAATCATCATATCATTCCATCTCTTAAAGATCAAATGCAAAGCTTCCAAATATGCTACATTTTTATAGAAATGTCGTTTTTAAGACTGCCTGTATTTAAAAAAAAATTTAAATCGAGATAATACACCCAAAAAAAAGCTTTTTATTGATCCAAAACTCGACCCAAAGCCGTCTGAATTTCTGACATGTAATTCCCAGCAGCCTCCGCGCGCGTGACGTAATAGTGGCCAAACAGTCTCTGGACCAAATATCCCGACTCGGCAGTCTCGGTCACATGTTTTTCGAAAAGAAAACTGAATTAACATGGGTTATTGTTGAGCTTTTTGTTGTACGAACGGTGCGGGATCTGGGAGAGTTTGACATGCATTTCCCAAAGACCAAATCATCCGCAAAAAATGGATTTTTTTAGTGAATCGTGTTGGATGGCAACCGACAAAATGGAGCAAGTTGTGTTTTGACCACTTCGCGTGTGATGCATACGACGTTGATTCTGCTATCATGAAGTCTGTTGGTGGAGAAGCATTAATAGCACGTCGGAGGCTGAAACCCGGAGCCGTCCCCTCCATATTTCAGCACAAGAAACCACTGAAAGAACGAAAGAGCCGGGCGATGCAGAAACGCCAAATAATTGAGGTAAACAACTTTTGATTAGATTTCAAAGCGCACGGAGCACAGCAGATAACGGAATTGCAGTTTTATTGCTTATAGAGGTGGGCACCGTTAGATTCTGTGTCTTTACGATCATAAACAATGTGTTGGATGTGGAGCTAGGATAAGTAATAAGGGCGCTAGGAGTGATAGGTTAGCATTTTTCGCTCGGGGCTAATTCACTGTTAGCATTGTAGTTTATCTGCAGCTCATTCATCGCTCCTCCACTCATAACGGAAAATGTCGAACGTCCTACAGTCGGTGATGCAGACTTCTTCTCCCATCTCTTCCTTCACTTTCCCATAGTTGTGGCAGCACTTGTTTTCTCGGCTTGTAGGCATGGTCTGGCAGTTTCCACATCTACACCAATTCTCAGCACCCTCGGCCTCTTCCTCAGATGGCGAACTTGAATCATCGCCATCAGCACTTTCATCGGTGATATCAGGTGACGTTTCCTTTTATTTCCTCTTCGACATCAGAGGCTCGTATAGATATGGTTGGATGTCGACAACATACTCCAGATATTGGGTGGCCTCCGACTCAGAATTAGACATGATAGACGAAACTAAGTTGTACTATCGGCGGAAGCCGCTGTGAGCCGCTGCGAGCATTTTTCGCTGGGGGCTAATTCAGTGACGGCCCGTCTACACTACAGGCGTCGAAAAAGCTTGAAGCTGGGCGTGTCTGAGGCTTGGCGATTTTTTGCGAGCAACGCGACCAACAACCAATCACATGAATCTCCCGCCCCCGACATACAAAGCAATAGCAATGTTAAAACGAAATAAACTGGATATAAAATCCCCAAACAGGCGAAAACCTACCAGTTTCACCCACTGTCTCTGCCACCTCCCTCCATGCCTCGCTCCTCCGGTTTGTATCCCGGTAGATGAACAGAGACTGATCATACAGCACCGGGTGATTCACTACCGCTATAATGAATTTTCCCTCCATTTTTTTTGAATATGAGGAAATGACCTGCGTAGTCTCTCCCAGCATACACTAGGGGTGGGCGGATCGATCCCAAAATATCGATACTTCCGATATTACGTTACGTTTCAAAATATCGATACTAGAGCCAATAGGATCGATACTGTTATACTTTTTTTCTCGTCTCCTCTACTCGTCAATTTCTTCAAAAAACTATGTGCAGACGAACACAAGTATATGCTCTTTTCTTCTCTCTCCACTGCTGTCCTCTTCTCCTCGAGGCTCCCTGCCTGAACGCCGATTATCAAGCTGACTGACAGCAGCCAGCAGGGCAGGACAGCAGCAGCCAGCGACTCGCGAGTGCAACACACACACGTGCATGATGGCTGAGAGAAAGGGCAGCGTTGTGTGGAGCAATTTCACAACTGGCAATTAAAACGTAGTGAACTGTGATGTGTGCAAGAAGACAGTTTGCTACTTTGGCCACTTTGTATTGTTATTTTTCATGTTTGCACTTTAAATTTGCAAAAGTAAAACGTGTATTTGTCTATAAAAACTGTCCTGTTTTTATTCATGAAAATGAATTCAGATTTAGTCTATTTATGATGATTTCAGCTCAAAAATCATGTCATGCAGCTCTCCCCTATATGAAAGTACATAAGACGCTTTTCATTAAAAAAAGTATCGGTATCGATATCGGTATCGGCGATACTGGCCATGAAATACTTGGTACGGATCGAATCCAGATTTTGTGGTATCGCCCACCCCTAGCATACACGCGGTTTGATTGGCTAGCGCTTGTACTGGCAGATTTGCATAAACGGGATTTCATTGGGTGACGCCAGCTTCGAGCAAGCATCGACAACATGTGACCGACGCCGATAGACGCTCGCGATGCTTGCAACGCCTTGCCATGCTACCCACAATGCAGTTCGGCGAAGTTTGAAAATATCCTACGTCACCCCATTCAAATGAATGGGCGAAGCGTTGAAAGCATTTTTTGACGCCTGTAGTGTAGACGGGCCGTCACTCAGAGCACCTGGACTTTATTTTTCTAAACCTCTCTAAAAAGGTCAAATTCCACTTGTTTTGCATCAATCTTGATACAGGGTACTTATTATATGTTATAGTTTGGATTCCTAAAGCTTTTAGTCTATAGTCTACTCAGAATCAGACATGATAACGAAACTAAGTTGTACTATCGGCGGAAGCAGCTGTGAGCGATAAGCCAAGGTTTGTTTGTTTGGCCACTGTGACGTCACGCGACGCCATCTTGTGGAGGAGCGGCTGAGAAAATAAATCGTCGGACTTGGTGTTGGGGGTTGAACAAAATAAATATTGCGCATTGCCAGACGCATATTATCTCCGATGTTAATACTGCAATATCTTAGATAGTGTTGTAGCTATATGATTTCGATTTTACTGGCAATTATAAAAAAACTTTTGCATTTGATCTTTAACTCATGGACGTATCTATGATCTAATCCAAAAATAAATAAATTAGGGTTGTCAAACGATTACAATTTTTAATCAGATTAATCACAGCTTAAAAATTAATTAATCATGATTAATCACCATTCGAACTATGTCCAAAATATGCCATGTCTTTATGTATATTGTTGTGGGAATGGAAAGATAAATGAAAGAAGGGTGGATATATCCATTTAACATGTTTATTGTAACATTTTTCTGTGTGTCAAAATGAAAGAGAGCACCTATCAATCATTAAACCCGTGGGGTCTTAATTCATTACGTGTTGATTTCTATCAACGGGGGAGTACTTCAGGAAAGTCGACGGGGGGGGGGGTACTTAGTGGAGTACTTCGTACGTTGTGATCAGCTGTTTTAGCGCAGTTCTCCAGTGAAGGGGGGAGTCTCCCTCCGCAGCCGGTTGGCGTAGTTTTGGCACAATTCCGTTGTACAGACCGACGTTAACAGCAGCCCTGTCTGTGCACACGGAGACCGACTCTGGAAAAGCTTCACAAGTACGTCGGTACGCAAATGCGCTTTGTGACACTAGTGACGGTACGCATTTCAGATTACGCACATAACCTGCGTACCAGTTATGTGTTACCCATGGGCGCGGGAAGGGGGGTGCTGAGGGCGCTGCAGCACCCCCTAGCGGCAAGGGGGTACGGAGCTCCCCTGTCTGAATTATTATTTGACGGTTATTGCTGCTCCCGCTGTGCATAATCTGTGTAATATGTAGCCAATAAATTCCACATTGTTGGTAAAATAATATTTTGGCCTGCCCCGAATGTTTTTTCTGTAGCCCCGGACAATTCTACCTCAATAATATAATACATTAACCGTGCTTTATGTGAACCTCATCAAGACACTAGAGAGGA